TTCCCACGATACCCAAGCCGGTTTACGTTGCCCTTCCTTGCAGCCCCACCAGAACTTGCGGATGATAGAATTTATGTGTTCACATAAGCCTCTGGGGAGCTTGAAACATGACATGGAGTAAACCAGAATAGCCTTTGCAACCGACTTGATCAACACCTCCTTACCCCCTGCAGACAGGCACTTGCCCATCCAGCCTTTCACCTTATCCCATACCCTGTCGCTCAAGTGCTTGAAGGTGCCCTTTTTTGCATGTCCAACATCCGTGGGCATACCGAGATATCTGTCACTTAAAGACTCATTAGGAACCTGGAGGCTTCCCTTTACCGCATCTCTGACGATCTGTGGGCATCCTTTGCTGAAAAAGATCGAAGATTTTTCCTTGTTGATCCTCTGGCCCGAGGCCATACAGTAAGTATCCAAAAGGTGTGACACTTCTTCTACTCCATCAACACTAGCCCTGAAAAACAGCAGGCTATCATCCGCGAATAAAAGATGGTTCACCGACGGAGCCGATGGAGCCACCTTGATGCCGCTGAGCTGGGATGATCCATTATGAGATTTTAACAGGTACGAAAGGCCCTCTGCTGCCAACAAGAAAAGGTATGGAGAGATAGGGTCTCCCTGACGAATACCTCTGGAAGGTAAAAACTCCTCTGATTTGCATCCGTTAAACATTACTGAAAAAGAAATTGTTCTCACCATGGTCATGACAGTAGAGACCCATGATGCTGCAAAGCCCAGTTTCCTCATAATAGCTTCCAAGTAGTTCCACTCCACTCGGTCATACGCCTTCATCATGTCGAGCTTGAGAGCACAATAATTATTGTTCTTTGATTTGTTCCTTTTCATGAAGTGCAGACACTCATATCCTGAGATTATGTTATCAGAAATAAGCCGGCCAGGCACAAAGGCTGATTGCTCTTCAAAAATAACACCAGGGAGTATTACCTTTAGTCTATTAGCTAGAACCTTTGAAGCTATCTTGTAGAAAACATTGCATAAACTGATAGGTCGAAATTGAGACAGAAGAATTGGTTTTGATACCTTGGGGATTAATACCAAAACAGTGTCATTCACACACTCCGGACTCTCTTCTCCTTGAACTATGCTCAGAACAGCTCATGTCACCGCCGCACCACATTTATCCCAGTGCCTCTGAAAGAAGTGCGCTGGAAAACCATCCGGCCCCGGAGCCTTTGTCGGGAACATCTGGAAGAATGCATTCTTAACTTCTTCCTCCTTGTACGGCGCCAAAAGAGTCTCATTCATCGACTCTGTTACCCTCGAGGGGACATGTTGAAGCACATCATCAAGCCCCTCCACCCCTTCTGAAGTGTATAGGGTTTTATAAAAATCCAGTGCCATTTGCTGCATCTCCGTTAACTCTTCCGTAAGCTGTCCGTCTTGCTTCTGCAAAGATTTTATCAGATTCTTGCGCCTTCTGTTTGATGCCCGGAGGTGGAAAAAATGCGTGTTCTTATCCCCCTTCGACAACCACGTCACTCGCGAACGTTGGCGCCACATTATTTCTTCCCAAAGATAAAGCTCAATCAGGCGGTCATTTGTTTTGATCTCAACATGACTAGGTGCAGTCCTAGCTGGATCGCTCTTGAGCCGCTCTAAATCTTTCTTCAGCCTCCTTATCTCTGACTTGACACTCCCAAAAGTTGACCTGCTCTACTCCCCCAAGTTGTTGGACAGGGATTGCAAATTTGCTCGAACTTTCGCCGCAGTTAGATTAGGGCCGTTCGCCTCCCACGCATGCTGAACCGTAGGGATCAACTTAGGATGCGTGTTCCACATACATTCATACCGAAACAGTTTGTCTCCCTGCTTCCTTCTATCCACTGGAGCCAACGTGAGATTTATAGGAGCCTGATCAGATGTCGCGGCTGTTAAATGATCTACCACTGCTAGTGGAAAGCGAGCACACCACTCGGGCGTGCCCAAAGCCCTGTCAAGCCTGACTCTGGTATATGATCCGCCAGTGACCTTTTTTTCAAAAGTCCACTTGCAACCCTGGTAGCCAAGATCAACCAGGCCACACACATCTATCGCATCGCGAAAACCTTGAATCTGAGTTTGACTTCTCTGTCCAATTCCCTCGTGTTCATCATATCGGAGAACCTCGTTGAAATCCCCAATGCACATCCATGGCATGTTTTGTAAGGCAGCCAAATTTTTCATTGTGTCCCACGTTCTGTGGCAGAGATGAGTTTGTGCCTCTCCGTAAAAGCACGACAGCCTCCACGGGTCCCCTCCCATCTCAGAGATCTTCGCGTCAATATGATACTGCGAGTAGCCCAATACCTCAATTTTTATTTCATTATTCCTGTACAAAGCTAAACCACCACTTCTACCGGTGGAACCAACAGCAAAAGATGAATCAAAACCTAAAGTACTTGATAGATTTTCAGCTCTAACTTGACCAATCTGTGTTTCAATGATACAAAGAACTTTAGGGGCAAACTTTAGAACGATTTCTCGTAGCTCTTGAACTGTCGGGGCGTTGCCTAGTCCCCGGCAATTCCAGCTGAGACAACTCATTGTGTCCGGCGGTCCTCCGCCGGGGAGGCCGCCGCTTTTGCATCAAGAATTTTGAGACCCGCTGAGTTCTTCCTTCCGCTTGGATTCGTCACCTTCTCTGGCTGCAGCGAGAGTTTAGAACGCTTTGGGTCTTGCTTTGGAGGTGGGCTGAGCGGTAGAACTCCTGTACTACCATTGTTGTTTACAACCGGCACAATATCCAGGCTCGTACTAGCTGCCCCGGGAGCGATCACAGTCGCTACCTCTTCAGACATCCTCTTGCGGCTTGCCTCATTGTCCTCCATCTCGGTGTCATCCTCCCCATTGCCATCATCCTGTGATCGCTGTCCTGAGCTGCCCCCCCTCTGTTCCCCTAGATCTTCGCCCATTGTTGCGGCGGCGAGTGCCCCACGCCGTAGTTGCGGGTGCTCTAAGATTTTTGAAGGTCAGGGCGGAGGGAGGGTGAACACCATCACCTTGCTCCTTGAATTCATGGCCCATCATGCCGCAGACCTGGCACCAATCTAGGAGTCGCTCGTATTTCACCGCAAAAATTTCTCGCTGACCCCACGAACAATAGAGGTCGCTTTCTTCAGTTGATTACGCACATCCAGGCGGATCCGCACCCTATAGAAATTGCCTTCAAAATCAAAGGACGACGGATCAGACTCCACAAACTCGCCGATCTTTGCTGCCAGTGCTTTCACTTTTCCATGATACGCGATCGGTAAGTCAAGGATTCTCGCCCAGATCTCAAACTTGATCAGCTCGATCGATGAGGGCTTGGAATAACCATCATAAGGCACAATAATCACGGGGTTACCCCGAAAGTGCCACGGCCCCCCTTGTGTCACTCTTTCCCAATCACCTAGGCACTCGAACTGCATGATGAACAGGTTCTCTTCAAGCGTTTTGATCTTAACCTTCCTTGCAAGATCCCAGGCAGAACGCATATTATGGAAGAACCAGTACGTGCTAAACCCTTTATCGATATGGACACGAACCAGGGTCATACACCCGAGATTCTCCGCTGGTGGCGCGTCATCCTCCTCGAAAACTACATCATCTAGGTCATCCTCTTTCAGGGCAAGTTCCTCCATGAGATCTTCAAGCTTCCCCTTCCCCTTGCTACATGATGCGCCCGGGGCGCCTTGCTTCGCCATCTCCAGAGCAGGCCTTGGATCCGATCGTATGCCGCGCTCCAACCCAGAAACCCTAACACCTCCAAACCCCGTCTAACCCTCCTGCCAAGGCCGGGAAACAGTACTGGACTGCCCCTTGGTCAGCCCGAGCGGAGCGGTCAGATGAGCGGCGGTGAGGGACGAAAAAACTCTCAACGTCGCCGGTGGCGGCGAGAGAAGAGCGAAGCCCTAACGAGAGGGAAGACCCATTTTCTCGCGTTCAAGTTCGCTAGGTCACCTTTTACAAATTTATATGAACATACACAGCGTCACAGGGGTCACGGCCCAACAGAATGGGCCGCCGTCTGAAATGGCCTGGCCTTATGCTCTGCCGAGTGAAGCCGCTCGTGTCACACGCACGCACACCGCCGCGGCGGATAAGAGTTTTTCTTCCAGAGGCGCACGCCGCGCCACGGCGAGGCACCCACCAGTCCACCACCCACCGTCCACCGCAGCGCGCCATGCTCTCCCTCCTCCCGCCCGCGCGGCTCCGCGCCGCGCCCTCCGACGCCTCCGTCACCTTGCCGCGCCGCCCGGCCGTCATCCTCCCAGTTAATCACCGCCCCTCCCCTCTTCCCTCGTCGCCTCGCGGCTCCTTTTCCTTTCCGGTTGTCCGTGTGTGACGCGCGGCGGTCTGTCGTAGTGGCGCGCAGGGGCTCGGGAACAACACGGGCGACTACGCGCGGCTGGCCGCGGCGCTGCGGGACGGCCACGGCGTGCCGTCCGTCGTCGCCCGGGTCTCGCGCCCCGACTGGCTCCGCAACGCCGCCGGGCTCGCCGACCCCAGCTACTGGCGGGGCACCCTCCGCCCGCGCCCCGTCCTCGACTGGTAAAATGCGGCCACCCTAGCCTCCTGGGCATTCTATCCCTCCCCGAATGCGTACGTGGTTGATTTTGTGACTTGAGGCGGTCGTTTCACCGAACACCTTGCCTGCACTGCAGGTACCTGAACCGGGTGGAGGAAGCGGTGTCCGAGGCCAGGGAGCTATCCTCTCCAGGTCCGTCTCCCAAATCATGGTGTAATTTCTAGCACTGACAAGTGCCCCGCGATTGAAGCTCTAGCAGTTTTACTGCCTTTGTGCCATTGAGCAACTTGTGCTTGGTTTCAGTTGCCATGACAAGGAAATTCTTGCTTCCAGTTCACCATCTAAAGTTCAATTGTTTCTTCCAATTTGAATCCCAATTCTGTTGCTGCTAGTTTCAGCCCTCTGACTGGTTCAATATTGTGGACTGTATTCTCAATTGTCCACGATATTGCAGGCAGAAAAATTGTGCAGAAAACCATGGAATAAAATGATCGATGTTCTAAAAATGGGGGCATTCATCCTGACTCTGGACTGTTTGATGCTTGCAGATGGGAAGCTATCATTGATAGGGCATTCAGCTGGGGGCTGGCTCGCGCGCGTGTACATGGAGGAATTCGGGACTTCTGACATAAGTTTGCTGCTCACGCTTGGCACTCCCCACCTGTACGGTTTTCTATCTGATCACTGTTAAAACACATGGATAAGTAGTCCGGTGGTACCCTTTTTTTGTTCTAACTAGCACTTGGGAGTAACGCAAGCTTAGTGGCTTGTATTCTTTAGTTTGACAAATTATTGCAGAAATTTATGGGCCTCTTACATCACAGACATGAATTATGAAATGGAGGAAATTAGATTTGGCACCTATTGTTACATTCCCCTTCTGTTTTTCTCCTAGAACATGCAAGTTTATGTTGTCCCAACTTACAACAATGTAGATATACCTGTTACCTTCACAATATTCTCCATACTTGTGTGTGGATTTCAGTACTTTTATGTTTAGAGGATATGATTAGGCCTTGTTTGGGTAGGTGAGAAATATTACCCTGTTCCCTTTGGATGTGCAAATAATTTACTTCAATTTTCTATCCACCAAAGGGATTGAACTTAATACGTAACCATCCAAACAAGCCCTTACATGTAAAAATCTCCCAACTATTATGTATTTTTACATGTGGATTGATAGTTGATACATAAAAGTCATGTACATGTTTATTCCCGCAAGCTTTAATATTTTTAACCTGATAGCAGGTGGAATTTTGAGAACAATGAAGTGTCAAAATGAAACCCGGAACATACTTTTCTTTTATCTGAATTTCTTTTCTTTTTCCTCTAATTCCCAGGCCTCCTCCCAAAGGTGTTTCTGGCGTAATTGACCAAACTAGAGGACTACTGAACTACGTCGAGAAGAATTGTGCCCCCGCAGTTTACACACCAGAACTACGATATGTATGCATTGCTGGAAGGTACCTTACGTTATAGTTCAGGTTCTGATTAATTGATTATATGTTAATCATATCATAGAATTGAGGCTTATGCATTACATTTCATCTTCTAACCAAGACTGCTGAGACAGTGGTGGATCTAGAATAGAACGACAGGGGGTGCCAAGCTCAATACTCACGTATATAAAGACTGATAGTGCACACAAATTAGCCTAACTATTACTACCTCCATTTCTAAATACAAGACGTTTTGGCAGTTCGAATTGAACTGCCAAAACGTCTTATATTTAGGAACGGAGGGTGTATATAGTAAATATACTTTGCATTTTCGCAGGGGGGGGGGGTCCATGGGCCCATGGAACCCCCATTGATCCGCCCCTGTGCTGGAACCATTCACTGTGGATGTGAAGCAGTCCCTCTCTAAAGAAATATAAGAGCGTTTAGATCACTAAATCAGCGACACTTATTTTGGGAGGGAGGGAGTACAAGTTTTGCAACACAAAGGTCAAAGGGCCACAGCATCAAATAATTAACGACTTATTTTCTGGGCGTTGAAAATATGTAGTAACACCGTTGATGTAGCTCTTGCCAGACTTGAACATAAATGGTGCAGGCTATCGTCCTGGGTTGGCTGAAATTACTATGACATTCTTCCTGAAAATGTAGTCCTGTAGAACACACACTTTCTCTTTTTTTGGATTCTTGATGGAACAATTTCTGCTATATGGACGAATGAACGCCAATTTTATAGCCTCCCTTTTTGACAGGTACATTCAGGGTGCTCCTTTAACTGGAAACTCCCTGGCTACTACCACAGATGAGCTTGTCGCCGTGGACGCCCCATCAGAAGTAGCTGAAGCAGTCATGGCCAGTGCCGACGACAACAAAACCGCTCCGACAGGCCCCACCTTCCGGGCCCGTTTCGTCGGACAAGGCTACAAACAGGTGAGTGCCACCCCAAGCAATGCCATGCTGTGGAATATTCCACATTTATTTTCCTAACAGAAACTACTGAAACAATACCCTAAATCCCACACTAGGTTTGCGGCAGCGCCGAAGTCTGGGGAGATGGGGTCGTCCCCGAAGTGTCAGCGCATCTAGAGGGCGCACTGAATATAAGCTTCGACGGCGTGTACCATTCTCCTGTAGGTTCTGATGATGAAGAGAGGCCCTGGTACGGCTCACCGGCCATCCTAGAGCAATGGGTGCACCATCTCCTCAGTTGATGCCACAGAAGCTTGACCAATTCCAAAAAATTGTGAACAAAATGGTGTATTGCCAAGCCCTTTTCACTAGTACAGCACGGGATAGCAATATACAGTAATAATGTACAGAAGATGCAGCCGTATTCTCTTCTCGTACTGTTCCAGAGTGTGTCTGAATGTCTCAGGCGCGGGCGTTCCTTGTACCCTTTATTCAGCAGCTTAAACTATTGTGTTTTCCTTTCCTTTTTGCCAAATTGGAGTACAACTCAAGCCAATTCAATGTGTATGAAATTGCATGCACAATGTGAGCTACAAACATCTTCTCAAAGGGATTTACCATCATGTGACAGGCAGAAGGAAAAACAATGAGAGGTTGTCAGCCTATTGCTCCAGCCAAGACATAATAATATGCAGGCGCAAAGAATGTATAATATGCATGCAAGTAACCATCCATGATGCTTGCAGCAAACCGGGCCGAACTCTTCGGAATGACACGGCATTTGACCACAACCTGCTTATCACAAATTCACCATCCAATGCAAACAAGAGACCAGCATGATATACATGACTAGGGCAAAGTGGAATTAACAGACTAAAAACACCGAGGGGAATTTGAGGATTTGCCACGCCTTTAATTACACTTTAAGGATTTGCCCCCGTTTACCCTGAAACTGAGGATTTGCCACGCATTTGCTGTAATCTTGAGGATTTGCCCCCGACGAGACGGGCCACAGCAAAATGACCAACAAGCCCTCGTGTTGATCTACGTGAGAGGCAGCCAACCCCGATCGTTCTGTCCCAGATATCACGCTCGTCTGATACGATTTGGGTGGGTGCGGCGAAGGCGACCTCGATCTCCACCACGACGGCGGCGGCGACGACGGCGGCGGCGGCGGCGCCAGCGGCTGCAACCTGGTAAGATGTGCCACTATATGCCATTCCTTCGACCGTCACCTGCTCCCCCAAGGTCGTTGTTCCTCTAGTGCAACATGTCAATACGTCCACCTTTTGCCTTAGTATGAGTCTGAACCAACTCCCAGATTTATCCCTAAAACATAGTTGATCAACAAACTCCAAAAAAATCATCTCCAGATTTTTTGCAAATTCAGAGTCCTGCCATTAGTTTCCACTTGATTGTTAATGTTAAGAAACCTGAAGATAAAATAAAAGCCATTAGGCACCTGTTGAATAAACATGTAAAGAGAATAACAAGTTTGTTGCAGAGCATGTACGGTTGATCTGTGGAGGATGGATGCTATGGATGATGGCCCTAATATGGGTGCTGAGGATATTGCTCTGAAGATACAAAGGTGAGAATGATACTATATCCGCATTTCCGTCAATGAACAACCTAACCGTAAACTTCGAATATTTCACTGTAGGGTGAAGCAGCCTGTTCATGTTAACATTAAAGTTAGAGTTCTTCCATATCGGGCCATGCTTGCTGATGGCGCCGAGGAACAAATGGAGCGGCAGGATATTGAAATGCAGATTAGATGGATTTTTTTTCAAAACTATCACCTTTTTTATAGCATTTTCGGAAACTATAGTACCCATTGCGAATATACCAGAAATATGACCCTGTCGGTCTCGTGGTGGCCGAAGTGGTAGTTTTCGGCCAGAACTAGGCCGAAAAGGACTTTTCGTCCAGCTGCAGGCCGAAATGAACCTCAGTTGGGCCGAACAGGTCTCGTCGGTTGGGGCTGGGCCGAAAATAGTAGCTTCGGCCAGGCCTAGACCGAAGTGGATCGTTTTCGGCCAGCCCGCAGCCGAAAAGCTTTTCGGCCAGGCCTCGACCGAAAAGGTCTGGATAAGGCCAATCCCGTCGTTGCCTTCCTCTTCCTGCTCGCCTCTTCTTTCTCTCGTTCCTCTCGTTCTTCTCTGTAGAGCTCCGGTCTCCTCCCTGATCTCCTCCAATTTGCACTCATTTAGACAACCAAGGCACAGAATAGATAGATCATAGCATTCTCCACCGGCCTATGGTGTTTTTTTTTCTTATGGGATAGTTTTTTGTGCGCTTGGGGGAGGAGCCATGGTTGGGTGGAGGAGGTCCGGTTGGGAAGGAGGTGGTGGTGAGGAGGAGCAGCAGCTGTGGAGGAGGAGGTGGTGAGGAGGAGCAGCAGCTTGGGGGGTGACCGGAGTTGAACCTCCGTCGAGTGGGCGGCGCTGCCGTTGTCCGGTGGCCGGTGCCGGTGACCGGAAGAGACGCACGCTTCGAAGGTATAACCATGGCGTCACAAATTTTCTCTAAATTGTATAGTTTATTAGTTAGTGTTAATATGTTTGTGGTGGCATTTTAGCGCGTAGTCAGTGTAGCGGGTAATATTAGTGTTCGTTGTGATTAATGAGAAGATGACAATGTCTGACAGGTGAAAATGTCTGAATCAGTAAATTTGACTGTTTACTACGGCGCTGGTAACGTTCGATATAATGAGTTGGGAGTTGATCTTAGCGAGTTTAAAAATGGTGTCATGACAATAGCAGACCCGGACAGACTGGACATTAGACAATTGAAGTACTGGTTGATAACTAGTTTCGGGCTTGATCCTGAAGTATGTTCCGTCAGTATTCACGCATTGTGGACCAAATCTTGTAAAAATGTCAAGTGGGAGTTGATGCCGGTAGATAGGAGCCAACATTGGTTGTCCCTGTTAAGACGCTGCCGAGACCAAAGAATCCACCCATATGTACTTGTGCAACCTGTGCCGAAGGAGGAGAATGCCGTACAACTCCACAGGGGGTATGAAACCGGTCAGGGCAGTGAAGTGGCGACCGAGATTGTTTTATCCGGGTCACAGCCACAAGATGTGTATGCTAGCCAACCCGATAAAGAGTCGGAGTACGTGCCACACAATGTTTGTGGTCCTGATACTGGGCAGAGTAGCCAGTCGATAATATTAGCTGGTTCTGGTTTTGCTGACGGGGATGAGGAAGGGGATGAAATGCAGAGGGTGATGGAGCAAGAGGACGAGGATGGATTGGTGGAGGAACTGGATTCTGAAAATTCTGAGGATGAAGTGGAGGTACCGATTCCTTCTGCATGGGAGCAGGACATATCCACTGGCCTTACGGTCAACGATGGCCATGAGACTCCATGGCAGTATAATCTGAACCAAGTACAGATAGGGGCTATGTTTGATACAAAGAAAAAATTGAAGTATGCGGTGATAAAGTGGGCTATGTCTACGCAGAGGGTTTTCCGGACACACATATCAAGTCCAACAAACTATACCGTGAAATGTGTTGAAACAAGTTGTCCTGGGAAGGTGCACGGGCATGTGCCGAAGTATGACATCCACTGGGTTGTCACCATTGTCGTCTCACATAATTGTGTGAGGAAGAACCTGTTGGTGAAGCATCCGAACCTGACTTCAAGTCTCATTGCGCAACTCATGTATACTGAGATAGTAGAGAAGAAAGATATGGAATCAAAACACATCCAGACAGCGGTGAAGGTCAGATGGAATTATGTCATTCCTTATGGGAAGGCTTGGAGGGCTAAGCAGAAGGCTATGGAGGAAAGGTTTGGGACGTTCTTCGACTCATATGATAATGTTGTCCGTCTCCTGGGCATACTGAAGGAGAGGAATCCCGGCACTTATGTGAATGTACAACACATGAGGTTGCTGAGTATACCAGATTTCAAGGTGTTGAAACGAGTGTTCTTCTCTTTTGGTATGTGCATCGAAGCTTTCCGGCATTGTCCTCCTGTTATGTTTGTGGATGGTACATTCCTGACCGGTCAGTATAGAGGGCAAATTCTGACTGCTATTGGTGTGGACGGGAACAATCAAATCATCCCACTTGCCATGGCATTTGTGGAGGGTGAGAACTTTCTCAGCTGGGTATGGTTCTTCCGCCAAGTGAAAATTGCCATCGTGAAGGACCGACCAAACGTGTGTGTCATTCATGACAGACATGCTGGTATATTGAAGGCCGTGAAGACACTTCGTAATCCAACAGATGACGAACCAACACCTTGGAGGGACTTGCAGAGCCGGTGGTGCATGCGCCATCTTGGGGCTAATTTTTTTTCACAGTTCAAGAACAAGCGGTTGATGAACTTGTTCAAAAAATTATGCAAGCAGAGCCAACAACGCAAATACGAATTTATTTGGTCAAAACTAGATGAGTTTACTAAGAAGCAGGTCCGTGCGAGGAAGAAAATGGAAGAAGATCAAGTTAAATTAGCAGCACTCATCGCAGAGCTAGAGGAGCCAGTAGGTCTTTGTGACTTGCCAGCAATTGACCCTCCTAATACTAAGAGAAAGAAGGGAAGGGCAATAAAGAATTCTTCTGAGTGGATAGAGAAAGAGCCTCCAGTGAATTGGTCTTTGCTGCATGACACACATGGAGCTAGGTATGGCCACATGACAACCAATCTTGCAGAGGTGTATAACTTTGTGCTGAGAGGGAATAGAGCATTGCCACTCACAGCTATTGTGGAGGCTGTATTCCACGGCACTTTGAGATATTTCAGAGAAAGGCACGAGTTAGCAAAGAAGCATATTGAAGATAATCAGAACACACCTTATTGTAGCCGTGTCATGGAATACATGGCAAAGAAGATAGAGAAAGCAAAGAAGCACACTGTCAGACTCATAGGGAATCAAGAAAGGAGGTATGAGGTTCAGCTTCCTACCGATGGTTTTGGTTCTGGAAATGAGGTGAAGACACACGAGGTAAAAATTGGAACGGAATTTTATTCAACGTGTGAGTGTACATGCAACAAACCGAAGTTGTTGCACCTACCTTGCTCTCATGTGTTGGCTGCCTGTGGCCAGATTGAATTGGATGCTATCTCCTTCGTGTCCCCATACTTTTTAAAAGAGGCATTGCTCAACACCTGGACAGGCGAGATGACAGGGTTTAGAGTCGTCGGCAATTTTAACAAGGTAAACGACGGTGAGAGAGTATACATCCCGCATCCAGACCTTCGGCGAACAAGTAGGGGCAGACGAAAGGCCCGTCGCATCCGGAACGATATGGACCAGTCTGAAGCTGGTGGAGCAACCAGGCAA